GAGAGAGAGAGAGAAAGGGATATTACCTATTGTATCCTCGACAGAACTCTGTATACACATACTTATATTGGTATTATATTATCGTTCTTATTATTGCTATTATTATCGTCACGCTATTACGTATATTATTATTATTAGTGAACGGAGCGCGCGATATTACGCGCGCCTCGTACAAATATTATTATCAAATATTATTATCAAATCATTGCGTATGTCTTATTATATCGTGCGAGATTACGCTCGCGAGTGATGGAACATCTCGCGGGGTGCCATTACCATCGAAACCAAGCCGAGATGAAGGATGAACGATCACGATGAACGAAATGCAATTATTCCAAAAAAGAGATTGTGAAACGTCAGCACACGCTCACTTCATGAGGATCGTTCGTTCGTGCTCGTGTTCGCTTGGTCTCGAGCCATTCTCGGCTTTGACGAACGTACGATGTTTAATTAACGCCACGAGCGAGTTGATGAGCATCCGCGAGACGTGACGTCGCGTAGCGTCGCGTCACCTCGTCCGTTCATTGGTCACCGAGAGATATATAATGATTTCATTATTTCCGTAGATGTGTACATTGTAGGATCGCGCGGCAGTATTACCACGTGCACTTTACGCTGGTCCGTGACAGCTGAATCAAACGTTAATCAAACGTTTCCCGCAGCCGCGGCGCACCGTTGATCGTCGCGTCGATGATTACCGATAATCTTTTTAAGGGGGATTTAATCGGGGGATACCGACATTAATACGCAGAAAGCTGCTTCCTTCCAGCGTACAAATTTAATACGCATACACATACGCGAAATAGGCGCGAGATGTTACGTACCGTGAGAACGAGAACAAAAGAGAGAAAATCCGATTTCTTTTCCCCTGAACCGCGTGATCAATTGGATCGTACACCTTGAAAAAAAATCGAAAGATCATTTCCGCTTGCTCCACCAGCCACCGCCTTGCGGAATCCTCAGCTCTCGATCTAGCTTCAATCCGATTCCACCCTCCGATTCCATTCGCGGTGTAATACCCGCAAGACAGGATTGGACGTTTCGTAAAAGGAAGGAACACATACGTATACAACACATACACATACATCTCTGCGATATCTTTATTATACACGCGCGAAAAATGAGAAATAGTCACGCACAAGACACACGAGACACGAGGGAACACGCACACGAAGGAAACGGATGCGGACACACATGTACGCACACAGAGAAAGAAAACGATAATTAAACATTACATTCTTACAAAAGACACATACGCGCCACCACCACATTGTTGATATAAATTGCGATCCATACTATGATTATTACTATTTACGATATAATTATTATCTTGCATTGTCTAGTCATACGTTATTATTATATAACTAACGATATTAATTATTAATTAACCTGTACTACCTAGTCGCATTATGTGTTGCATAAAGAGAAAAAAAAAAAGGAAAATTACGAAAATTCCGAAGGCAGAAGAGCGGGAGTGAAAAAGGAAGAGTGATTGAATGTGATAAGAGAGTAAAAGAAAGAAAATTCGAACAATGCGTGATGATGATTTCGATGGCAACAACGGCAAGTAGAATATGAGGCGCTGAAAATTTAAAGATATACTTTTCTAATTTAAAAAAAAAAAAAAAAAAAGAAGA